GCAGCCGGGCACTGCCAGGCATGCCAATCAGTGTTAACTATGCCAGCATGCCAGCTGCTTCACTGTTCTATTCTTTCCTCTTCGTCTCTCAAGGTAGGTCGGGAAGGAGGGGGACTCCGGGCTAGGAGACCCCCTGGCCCCCAGGCAAGGGGCTGCAGACTGCCTGGGAAGGGCGTTGGAGCAGCTGAGGGCATGTCTGACGGCAGGGACAACTTCTTGGGGACTTCCAGGGACCAGCCCCCTGCACTCGCAGATAGCGGAGGGAGCGAAGACGGAGTGGTTCACAGGGGCATGTCTGCTGGGGCCAGGGCACCCTCCCATGTGGGAGATCTGGGCCGGGCCAAATGGCATCACCCACTCCCCGCTGGTGTATGGGGTCGGAGACATGCCTGTCTGGGCTAGGCAGTGGTGCCCACTGCCTGGAGTGTCAGAGCACGGGGTGGGCCACATGAGGCTGGGCCGTAGCCCCCAGAAAACACGAGAGAACAAGTTCTGGGGCAGCTTCCAAAGGGGAATTTTGGGCTCGCCTCTGTAGGACTGTCGCCCGTCAGTTCATGCCCAGAGCTGGGGGCAGTGGCAGCCTCAGCCAGGCTGGACCACAGAACTCACTGACAGAAACCGACCTGACACTCCACAAGACCCAGAGCTGCGAAGAGGCTGGCCAGGGCTAGGCTGAAACCCACTGGCGCATGAAAAAGCCAGGACAGGGTATGGGCTGCGTCCAGCTGGGCCAGGCTGCAACACCCACCGCTGAAAGCCGACACTATCGGGTGAGTCACGCCAAGCTGGGCCAGAGCACCTACCAAGACCGGGGGTAAGAATGGGCCTGGTGGAACTCTGGGGCTCCCTGCCAAGCTCCCACTGGTGAATGTGAGGGCAGACCAGGCTGGGCAAGGCCACAGCATCCATGGTGGTCTGGGGGTAGGCCAGGCCACGCTAGGCTGCAGCATCCACTGAGTGCAGGACTGAGAGCCAGCCATGTCTTGAGCTCTGCTGCTGGCGTAGGAAACACCCCTTCCAGGTCGCAGGTTCCGCAGACGGACACGAAGCCGGGGCTAGAAGCAGGCCAGACCAGCCTTGGCTGCAGCACCTGGGCTGCGTGAGCCACAACTGGGGAAGGCTGGACAAAGTGAGAGCCAGGACAGAGTGCAGGCCGGGCTGGGCTGAACCGTACACCTGCCAGTTCACATGAGGGCTGGAGTCGGGCCAGGCTGGGCTAGGCTGCTGCTCTTACGGGAGCTGTGACAAGGGCAGACCGGGCTGAGCCAGGCTCTGGCACCTGCTGGTGACTGCTGAGACTGGGGGTGGGCCGTCTCAGACGGGGCACAGCACAGACCTGGGGCTGCGAGGAGGCCTGGTTAAGGAATTCAGGGACCCCCTGGTGGGGTGCTGGGGTGCTGCTTCACTGGAGAGCGTGAGAGCTGGGGCCGGTGGTAAGCTGGTCTAGATGTGGGCAAGCTGGGCTTGGCTGCAGCACCAGCTGGCAAGTACCAGGGCTGGGTATGAGCCATGTCAGACTGGACGGCAGTTCCCCCCAGCAGGCACAAGCTCCAGGGTGGGCACATGCCTCACAGAACTGTGGGCACTGCCCTGCTAAGCTGTACCTGTCACTGGGGAGTACAAGACCCAGAACTGGGGCAATCTAGGACAAGGCAAGGCCACCTGCTGTCAACCACGAGGACCAGGTCTGGGGGTTGGTCAGGCTGAGCAACGACACAGCACCCACAAGTGTGCACTAGAGCTGGATGGGATGTGGGCAGAGCTGGGCTAGGTTGCAGCCGAGGCTGGCATGTGCAAGAACGAGGGCTGGGCGCAGGCCTGATGGGGTTACTGAGTTACCCAAACCAGGCTGTGGCACCTGGTGACGTGCGAGCACTGGGTCTGTGGGCATGTGGGTCTGGGCTGTAGCACCTGTCGGTTCGTGTCAGACTCGGGTGGGGGCAGAACTGACCCTGCTCTGGCTGCCACACAGTACTCAACAGTCACCCAGGCATGGTGTCTTGGGGGGCTCCCCGACTAGACCACTGGACTGGACTCTGGCTACAGTGAGGGAAGTCACGGATGTGTGGTCCGACCTTGGTCTGCATGCATCGGGACTGTGCACGAGGGGACGTGACGGCCAGCTCAGGGAGGCCAGCAGGGACGGAAGGCAGGAGAGCTTGGACAATTCTCCTGGCCAAGCTTCGCGGCGTGTCCCTGGGCCTGTGGAAGCACTAAGGCGGACTTTGCCAACCAACAGAGCTTGGAAAGATTTTCTCAAAACCTTAAGCAATGAAGCCAACAACCCAGAACTGTCAAAACCACCCGAGTCGCACCCTCAAATGACCGTCCCCCATCTGCTGGCGCTGACGCAGCTGACAAGCAGTGTCTTCCCGTCCTGCCCTGCAGAACCAGGATGGAAAAACAGCTCCTTTGTCACACTCATCTTTGTACCTGAACCCCCTGCCCTAATCAGAGGCCCACAGAGGTACGCAGCCCCTCAGCTATGTAAATATGAAAAATGAAAGATTTTAAAGCTTCTTATTGGAAAGGCAGATCTACAGAGAAAGAGAAAGAGAAAAATCTTCCGTCTTCCAGCTCACTCCCCAAGCAGCTGCAATGGCGGAGCTGAGCTGATCGAAGCCAGGATCCAGGAGCTTCTTCCAGGTCTCCCCATGGCTGCAGGGTCCCAAGGCGTTGGGCCGTCCTCCACTGCCTTCCTAGGCCACAAGCAGGGAGCTGGGTGGGAAGTGGAGTGAGTGCCTGGGACACAAACCAGTGCCCATATGGGACCCCAGTGCATGCAAGGCAAGGACTTTAGCTACTAGGCTACTATGCCAGGCCCAAAAATTAAACATTTTTAAGAAGTCACACTGAAAGTGCGTCTCTCCCTCTGTCCTCCCAAGAGGCAGCAGAGGACTGCAGACAAGTGGACCTTGTATTTTTACTATAGAATTCCTAATGTTGCAGTGCTCGCCTGGGAGGTGCTTCCCTTTTTCCTTTCTATATTCACCTGGTCACTTGCCAAATGAAGCCACAATGCAAGAGGTCCGAGGACTTCCTGTGTCACATGTGCGAAGCCAGCCCGTCTGACCGGCATCTTTACCTCGTCAGGCAAACCCCTCTGTTGGAGCTGCCCGAAGGATTAGCTGTCTCTCGCAGACCTGCAGAGGGGACAGACAGAACCCAGCTCGGCCCTCAGCACCACAGCCTTCTGCCAGGGTGGCCTGTGCGAGCGCCAAGCCTGTATCCATGCACGCCTTTGAGCGGGCCACTCAGGGTCCCCGCGCTGCTCACCTACCAAGTACAAGTTCCCACTTCCCAAGCCTGTTTCTTCCCTTTTTGTATTTCAAAGCACTGTGCTGCCAAGCCCTCACATGGTGCCAATGAGCCCTACCAAACACAACCAAGGAGTAGCGGAGGAAGCCACGGCTGCCAGAGCTGACCCCGTGGGCAGCAACAGCACCCTGATGCCCAAGGCAGAGCTGTGAGTGCAGACACACCCAAAGCCGCTGCAAGCATCCAGCACCTGCCGGCAGGTCCCTCCGACACCCGACAGAGTACCACGCCGCCCAAGCAGCGGTCCTTGAGGACAGAGGGCAGGGACCACACGTTTCCACAGGCTCAAGGAAAGAACATGTTAGAAAACTTGACAGGTGGGTCCACCTGGGACAAATGACACTTGATCAAGCCAGGTGAGGAAAGGCCACCGACCTCTGACCCTCCCCATGGTCAGCCAGGAACACGTGTCAGTCAGACGGGCACCATTGCCAACAGCTGCCGGCACCGAGGGCTCCGGGACACTGCAGCGGCGGTCCGCGCTCAAGCTGTGCTGCCCAAGGAGCGACCGCAGACGGCACCAGGACCCTCCCGCCGCAGCAGGCGCTGGCGCTCTATCCCCAGCTAGGGGCAGGCGTTTACTCTCAAAGTTACACCAATGTCTCCATGTGTCTCGGGGAAATAAGCCAGGTTTCACATTGCACCCAGGACACAGGGAGACTGCAAGCTGATTACACGACAGGACCAGTGGCACTTGTGAAAATGGAAGCAGAACTCTGCAGGCACAGTGAGCACAAGGAGTCCGCCTGCCCTCCTCCACGACCGACTGGCGTCCCCAAAGCCGACAGCTTAGCAGAAGTCCATTAGGAATTGTCTACACCTGCATTTTAAGTCTCACATGGCAGTTACTCTCACTTTAAATGGAAAAAAAATGTAGGGACCAATGTTCAGGACACTATGGCTACTTGGTCACAACAGCAAGAAAACCCAGACGCCCAGCAGCACGCACTGCCCGGGGCAGCTCTGTGCTCGCCATGGGGGCACACAGGCCCCCTTCTCCCATCTCTACAACAAGCTGTAACTTAAAGACACCAGGCGCTCTGGGGGAGCTGGGCTTGCCCGCTGAAGGCCTGCACTCCAGAGCCCCCAGGAGCCACACTCAACACCAGGCCGAGAGCCAGGAGCACCACGGAAGGTTCCAGGACTTCAGGTGTCCTCAGCCAGTCTGGAGCGCTAAGCAGCATGTGTGACGACAGACAAGGCAGCGTGTCATACTTCCCTGCTCCTTGCCAGGTCTCCCAGACAACCCGATGAGAGCCTGTACCCACACCTGTGTGCCCCGCTCTGCCCAGGCTCAGATCCTGTACCCACACCTGTGTGCCCTGCTCTGCCCAGGCTCAGATCCTGTACCCACACCTGTGTGCCCTGCTCTGCCCCAAGCTGAGAACTCCAACCAGAGATTTCCAGCTGGGTTCTTCTAAAGGTGTAGAGAGCTTTAGCCAGCAAGGGGAGCCATGGGGCTGGCTGCGCCTGTGCGGGTCCTGCTGCGGCTGCACTGCAATCCGCTCTCCATTCCTGAACTCTGTGATGGCTTGCGACGCTACAAGAGGCCCACGTTTTAGGAAGGGAGGTGTAGAGTGAGTGAACTACCGCCACGCCCTGTGTCATCTACACACACACAACCACACGACCGCTGGGAGGTGAACTGAAACATGTTTATTGCATTCTAAACGTACATTTACTTAGCAGGGCCCTGTGAATACACAAAGCGTCGCAGGGAAAGATGCACGTTCCTCCTAGTCCACGTCCGAGGACTACCGTGAACTGCCCCTGGAATTAACTACTCCTGGCACTAGTGGGCACCAACTCCATGCATCAATTTTCTCCTCTTAGTATTGGCAGTAATTCACCATTTTCTTTCAGTTCCTAAAAATAAGAAAAAAAACAATAAAATATACACGCATGTCAACGATGAAAGGCCCATCACAGCTTGCACCTGTTCAAAGAAACACCTCAAGAATTAAAACTCGTGTCTCCCCAAACCCTCAGTATTGTGCCACAAAAACTGAATGCAGTTAGAAGGCAAAGCTAGAGACGTGTTTACACTACAGAGCATCAAGCACAAGGAGCACAGGGAGAAGCTGGTGGCCGTGGGAGGGGAGTAAGATGCAAGGTCGGAGCAAGGGGTGACGTGACGGACGTGACGGACGTCCACCCACATGGCACACGCCCCTCCTGCTGCCCACTCCCACGCAAAGGACAAGTAAGATTTGCTAGTTTAACGTTCAGTTAATCTACGCAGCATCAGCATCAACAAGGAAACCAGAGGGCCACGTGACCTACACAGGTGCCTCTGCCACGTGCAGATCCAGGCACCTCTGGGAAGCAGCGGGGGACCTGCCCCCATTCAGCTGACCAGCAGGCCTGCAGCACCGGCTTCCAGCACAGGAGGCTCGTAGCCTCCACGGAGATCACAGGGGCGGGTAGGCACCCAGAGCCTTCGTGCGCATGCCCGCTCGCTCTCCACACCAGCAGCATCTGGGAGCGCTCCCTCCCAGGAAGTGGCGCTTGTTAGCAACTCAGGCCATTAGAGCACTGAGTTCCCCAAGTCCAGGGGAAGTTCCAGGTTGAACCTGCTCTGCTGATTCCTGGGCCCGGAAAGGGCCAGGTGGCATCAGCACACCCAGAGAGCCACAGACGGCCTTGTTGTAAGAGCACCCCAAAACGCAGGCTGAGTCACCCCCACACCCGCCCGAGGAAACAAAGTAACATTATCACCGATTTCCAAGCACCCATTTTCCAGCAAGTCACAAAAGTCCTACCAAAGCACCTTGCGACACCGGGAAAGAGGCGACGCCCGTAGCTCTGCCCGAGTAAAACGAGATTCACCAATCAGAGCTTTCCCAGAGCTGCCAGCGGCCGCGGGCCAGGCCAGGAGAGCCCTTCCCCAGAGCTGCCAGCGGCCGCGGGCCAGGCCAGGAGAGGTGAGCACAGGCCGTGTTCCAGAGCACACAGGCTTTCGCAGCACACCCACCAGGTACCCGGTACACATCGGTTTCCAGTGCTTTCAAGCTACGGAAAAGCTGCAGCTCTTCCTGCAGGAATAAGACAGTTCCCTGCGAAAAAAATGCCTCACTAGCTTTTCCAACAGCGTCACAGCCCACTGGAACTCTGGGACAGAGCGCGCGACAGCACTGCACAGGAGCAGCTGCAGGGCGCCAACAGCTCTGCAAAGACGTGGAGCCAGCCTACAACCTTCACAGCCTAACAGGAAGGAAGCTCCTCTGCCCACTGCCTGGACACAGCTGCCCGCCACGCAGGCTCCCCCCAGGCCCTGGGCAGTGGGCAGACCACCTGCTGGGACAGCAGATCCCAGCCTTCCAGCCGGGGTGGGCCTGGGCCCAGGGCCAGGGGCCGCAACAGCTTCTGTTTGATTGGCACAAACCAGCCCAGCGATGACATACAGTGCCAAGCAGCAGGCTGCCCTACGCTCCGGCCATGAGGTACAAGGTCAGCCAGGCCCGTTTCAGATCCCTGTGTTTACCCAGAACAAACCAAAGTCAACCAATATCTTCCAACAACCTCATAACCGCTCACGGAAGGTGGGGTGACGCGGAGCACCCCGAGGTGCACACCTCTCACGGACCCCTCTGAACGCAGGGCAGCGGGAGCACTCCGAGGTGCACACCACCCTACGGCCCAGCGACTCTGAGCACGAGAAGGGCCTGCTGCGTCCTCCTGAGACAGTGTCGGGGGCCACGGCGGAGTGGCCGGCAGGGGCTCCAGCCCAGTACCTCCCGTTCCTCCTAAACTCTCCTGGCTCCCTGCACTCGAGCACAAGGGAGCCAGGAGAGAGAAAAGGACCAATGGACCCATCGTCCTCATCACTCTAACTGGAGCAAAGCGCCAAGCAAGACTTGCAGAAACAAGAAGCCGAGGAGGACTGCAGACAAGTGGACCTTGGTATTTTACTACAGAATTCTCAAGAGCAAACGCACGGGGAGGGCAAGGAAATGCCAAAAGGTGGGAGCGCAGAACGCCGAGTGAGCATGGCGTGTGCAACACTGAAGGGACCCCGGGCCAGCAGGTGGCAAGGCGGGCAGCAGTGGAGGGAGTGGAGCCAGAGGACAGGGAAGAGAGCTACGGGCACAGCAGGAGGTGCTGAGACAAGCTGAGCGAGCGGACAATGACAGCATGCTCACTGCAAGAGGGGCCCTGGGCCAGAAGGGCCTGACACACCCTAGGCAGCCGGAGTCGGCCAGCCCTCAGCAGAAAGACTCGGTCTACAAGTACGCCCGGGCCCGCAGCCCTCCTGGGACAGTCTGGGCCCGCAGCCCTCCCCAACAGCCCGGGCCCGCAGCCCTCCCGCACAGCCCCGTAGCCCTCCTGGGACAGCCCGGGCCCACAGCCCTCCCGCACAGCCCTCCCAGACAGTCCGGGCCCGCAGCCCTCCCGCACAGCCAGGGCCCGTAGCCCTCCCCAACAGTCCGGGCCCGCAGCCCTCCTGGACAGTCCAGGCCCGCAGCCCTCCCACACAGCCCAGGCCCGCAGCCCTCCCGCACAGCCAGGGCACGGCACTTACCTTAACGATGTCCAGACCCCCGATCAGCTCCCCCTTCACGTAGAGCTGCGGGTACGTCGGCCAGTTGGAGTAGGCTTTCAACCCTTGCCGCACCTGGACAAAAAGAGAGAGGCTGAGGCCACCGCCGCATGGTGCTACAGCCCAACCATGGCAGGAAAACAAGCACGGAACACCCAACTGACCTCGTCGTCCTCCAGGATGTCAAAGGTCTCGTAGTCAATACTACAAAAAGGAAAGACATTTTACTGGAAAACATGGTCTTGCAAAAACAAAACAAAACAAAAAGCCAAAACCCCAGAGAAGCCAGGTGGCGTTACAGTCAGGCATGGCCACATTCGCCACGGCCTGACACTGCTGGACTTGTACTCCAGCTGTTCCCGGCGAGTCATCAAGATTGAAACACATCTGCATTCTCTAGAACGAGGGCACTTCCACAAGCTTGGCAAACGGAATCAAAAAGCACGTGTGTTGTTACGGACAATCTCCTGAATCTGTGCGTAGAAGAGCTTGCTGAAAATGGTGATTCACGGGTTCTCCGTGACCTCTCTGAAGCCCGCTGCTCCTTGGCCATGAGTTAACACAGGAGCTAGCAGCGGTTCTCAGACAAGGCGGTGACCCGGCGGGCCTCTGCAGGCCACTGTCTGCCCCGCTCACTCAGAGCAGGGAAACTAAAGAAGCAAGTGGCAAAGAGCAAAACAAACAAACAAACAAAAAGCCAGAGTCTTCACCCTAGGCGAACCCACAGTGCAGGCCTCGCTGCGCGGCCAGGACGGACCCCAGCCACACTGCACTGTGCCAAGGGCTCTCTCACGCGCCCACACACCCACACGCACGCACGCACTCCCGCTCCTGGGGGGAGAGGGAGCAAGAACGAAGGAGCAAGCACGCCTTCTCTCCAGGTGAGCCCCCTCAGCCATCCCGGCCGCAGGCCTGGCCTGGGGTCTTCCGCCGCGCACACAGCAGGGCCGGCCCAGGTGGTCTGCCTCTGGGAACCAGGGCCATGCCCTCTGACTGGCCGCAGCAGAGGGGACAGCAAGGGGGGAAACAACCAAGGCATGAACAATAGCGTGCTTTGCCCTGCCCTCACACCAGGACCGCCCCGGCCCCTCCATCGCCCAAGTGTGCGGTGTCCCCGGGGTCACCTGCCCCTAACAGCAAGAGCCGGCCCAAGTGTGCGGTGTCCCCGGGGTCACCTGCCCCTAACAGCAAGAGCCGGCCCAAGTGTGCGGTGTCCCCAGGGTCACCTGCCCCTAACAGCAGAGCCGGCCAAGCCACTGCACGTGCAGTCAGCACAGGCATTACATTAGCCTGACTTCACACTTGATCTCAGGCAAAAGGCCGAGAAGCGATTTGGTTTCTTAAAAAAAAAAAGAAGCAGCTATAAAATAAGAAAAATTAGGTCAAAACAGGTGGTAAGCCACAGAACATGTGCTACAAAAGTCCCAAGGGCTTCATCGCCAAGCAGACGGAAACCAGCGAACAGCAGCCCGGTGCCCGACGCCCACCTCAAACCAGGGACAGGCTGACCCCATGCCCACCCACTGCAGGTACTGCCTAGTGAAGAAAATTCTAAACCGCTGGTAACATTCCCTCCTGGCAGCATGTGGGTGCGCAGGCAGGGCCCCGGGCAGCCACCGCCCCCGGCAGCCCCGTTCTGTCGGGACAGAGACTCGGGAGGGCGGAAGAACGGACACCGACAGAAGCACACAGCTCACGGCGGACATGAGAGCGAGGACTTACCCAGTAGTATTCAGGATTTCCAGAATTTGTTTGCTGAATCCACACTTTGCTTCCTAGATTCAAAAGCAAAAATTACAGATGACACATTTGTACAGGATCCACCTGGCACAGCCTCATCTACGCTGCTACCCAACAGCACTCGTACCCAGTGTGACCTACAGCTGGCGTATCACCCAGCACATGGTCAGCAGCCCCACGGTGACCCCTGCGGACATCACCCGAGAGGACACGGCCTCCCCGCTCTCCAGCAGCCTCCGCGCCGTCAAAGCCTGATTTCCTACGGAGTTCAGTTCTATGTCATTCGCACAAAATGATCTCAACGCTTTCTCCAACAACAATCACATCTCCCTAGTCCTGGTTGGGCTTCAGTCCCCATTTTGGTGTGTTTGTTTAAGTCTTTGCATGAAAAGCTACTGTGCAGTTCTTGCACTCTCTCAGGGTCTTGTACAAGGACTTGCAACCACGTAACATTTTTAATAGTTGTGACAATACTCTCCTAGTACACTTGTTAAAAGTTATCAAAAACAAAACTACTTTAAACCATTGTCCTAGGGAATCATCAGCTTTCTACACCTTGTGTTAATAAGCACAGAGCAGCAGAAGGATCCAGGCTGGCCCTGGGATTTCCAACAACCTGGGACTTGGATGAACTCCCCCTGCCCGACCAGGAGCTCAGTACGGTGTTAACATGGCACCCGCGGCGGGCACACTCCTTACCCAGGGCTCTGGCTGGCTCCCTTCCTGGCCCTGCTCCTGCTCACACACCACAGCAGGCAACAGGTGAGGACGCAAGCGCACGACTTCCCGTCACCCACACGCACCCCCAGAACAAGTCCCCAGGCCCTGGTTTTGGCCCAGATCCGGCTGCTGCAGCATTTAGTCAGGGAACCAGCAGAAGGAAGATTTCAATCTGATCTGTCTTTCAAATACTTCTAAAAACTTTCCAATTTTTCCCTGTGACCCTTGGGGCACCTGCCTGACTCCCTCTGGCTCATGAACAGGGCAGCCGTGTGCTCAGGACACGCTGGCAAGAAGGAATGGCAAAGGTTCAATTCCTAAGAAAACATAAAATACATGCATGTATAAACCCACATGCAAACGTGCACATGGCCAGGTTATAAAAGAGAATTTGTTTTGCTCAAGGTAACAGTAACACATCAAACTTGACAGAAAAATCAAAGTCCTTTCATCAAGAAAGTTACAAGAACCTCATCATTCCAAATGAGAGCCACTGTTCTCTCCCCATTGCTCGGACACACCAAGGCACGGTGGCTGGGCCCCTCGCCCATGTGGACCCCTGTGTGGGCTGAGGCGGGCACACTGGGCGCCCAGCAGCAGCTCACCGCCACGCAGCAGAGCCAGGGAGACAGGACAGCTGACCAAAGCCCCGCTCCCCGAGACGATGATGGCAGAGTGCAGCAGAAATGCAGATTTGTCGCTGCCAGCACCAACCAAGGCTGGGTAACTTCCTGGAGCCACTGCGGCTTCATGAGCTAAAGCCAGGAAAAAGATGCAACTGTCCCCTTGCTGCAGATATGAACATCAAGGGAAATTACAAACGAAACCATTTCTGAGTTGCTTACCTGCTTGTTTCCTTTCATAAAGAGCATCACGGTGGCTTTATTTGTCAGCACTTTGAGCCTAAAGAGAGAAAGTCGGTGTGAGCATTGCTGAGGGCCGGCAGCCTGACAGCCACAGCCTTGAGCAGCCATCCAACAAGCACAGTGACACCCCCCTCGTCCCATTCCCGCCCTGCGCCACTGCAAAACACAGCAGGGCTTTTAAGGCCACACACGCTCCTGCAAGTTGCAGTTGAAGCCCATCAACTCAGAGCACTTAAAAAGACAGTAATAATAACCAACTCAGTAAGGAACTGCTCCATGAGGGTGCTGTTTGCAGCCCACCTGGCACTTCCAGAACCAGACACCAGAATCAAGGTGCACACCACCTCATCTTCACCCCACAGACCCCACGCTCCGTGCCAAGCCGTCCCTAGGCTCCCCAGGTCTGGCTGGAGGACCAAGGCATGGGTGCTCAGGACATCACAGCAGCTTCCACACAGCACAGCTGACCGTCAGGGACAAGGACCACGCCACCTCCCCCTGCTATGGATGATCGGGGTGGTTCGAACTCTTTCTCAAGGAAGCTCTCCCAAAGCTTCACCTCCACGGCCAGCACCATGACTCACGACTCTCCAACAGGGGACGCTGCCCCGACCACTCACCCATGACTCCCATAGCAAGCAGCTGCAGGCCACTCGAGCCGGGAAACACCCCCTCCAACAACAGCCCCTGCCCTGCACCCTCTGCCAGCATTCACGGGTCTCAAAGCTGTGCCACATGTATCACAGCCCCAGCCAGCTGCAGGTGCCCAAAGCACAGGACATCACAAGTGACACACCAGGACAGCAAGGATGGCAAGGACAGCCTGAAGAACAGAACCCAACTGAGCCACAAACACGGCTACACAAGGCACTGCTGCCCTGGGACACAGGGCACCCCAAGCCCGGGCACCCCAAGCCGGGCACGGCACCCTCACTTAAGAGGCAGGAAGGTGCAAACCACAAGCACCAAGGAGGTGCAGCCAGCTCCAGGGGCCGTGGGCACGAGCCACGCAGGAGGCCCCAGGTGCCCGAGAACTGTTAACCCCAATACATTCAGTGCTAGGACCATGACAATGGGAGGGCTTACCCTACACCAAAGGCTGTAGGCCAACGTATTAAAGAGGCCTGTGGAAGCCTCCACATCATATCCATGTCACTAAAATCCCTTTAGGTCTCCCCTGAAGTTCAAAATGTCTAACATAACTTCTCGGGCCAGCACAGTGGCCTAGCAAACTAATCCTCCACGGTCGGCACCTCAGCCCATATGGGCACCGGTTCATGTCCCGGCTGCTCCATCTCCAACCCAGCTTCCTGCTTGTGCCCTGGGAAAGCAGAAGATGGTCCAAAGCCTTGAGCCCCTGCACCCATGGGAGACCTGGAGGAAGCACCTGGCTTCACATCAACTGAGGTCTGGCATGCCGGCCATTTTTCCATTCCTCTCTTTCTGTATCTCTGACTCCGTAGACAGGCAGATAAACAGATAATGTCCCTAGAAGCTAGAATGTGTACAACTCTACAAGTAGCTTGTTGCTCGGCTGCCCTGGCAAAGGGTGAAGATGAAGGGTGCCGTTCCCCTCACAGCACGGCCAGCACCCCGAGCCGAGCGCAGACGGCAGCACCACCACGACAGGCCAGCCGGCCACGGGAGCAGTGAGCCGGCCCTGCAGGGCTGCAGGACAGCTGTGAGCCAGGCGACGACCCCGGCAAACAAACATCCACAAGGAAAAAGCAATGCCAAAGTGACATGTGAGATTCTGAAGGTAAGTGACAGCTCTGTGGGGTAGAGGGTTAAACCCATGCTGGCGCGGACTCGGGACTCAGCTGCTCCCTGCTAACGCACCCGGAAAGGCAGTGCTGGGCAGACAAGTGCTGGGGCCCGCACCCACCCACAGGAGCTCCTGGCTCCTGGCAGCACAGCCAGGGAGTGGAAGATGTCTCCAGCTCTCCTCTCTACAACTCTGCCTTTCAAATAAAGAAACAAATCTTTTTTCAAAAGACAATAACAGACAACAAACAATAGACTATTTGAGACTTTTAACACTTACCTTTCCTCTAACTTGGGAGCTTTTGGGCAAATCGTATCTAATTCATTTGAAGCTTCCAGTTCCTGAAATAAGCACACATGTCCATCTAAGAAATGTCACTCTAACACAAATCTCCACAATCACAATAAAACAAACTGAAGTACTGTGTATGTTTCAGGTTCATGTTAATTAAACAGACTCAAAAGACATCGGTACTTGGGAATTGCAGAGACCCCAACAGCACTGCCGAGGCCCTGCCACACTTCTCCACGCTGACCTTAACTATGTCGAGTCCACCTATGAGCTCTCCGGACACGTAGAGCTGGGGGTACGTGGGCCAGTTGGAGAAGGTCTTGAGGCCCTGCCGCACTTCCTCGTCCGAGAAGATGTCGAAGCTGCTGAACTGAATGTTGTGTCTCTGCAGGATCTCCACCATCTGCTTGCTGAACCCTGCGGGCGGGAGGGAAGGCGCACGGGGAGTGAGGCTCCGGCCTCCGGCTGCACAGACCTCGCCGAGACGCCATGCGGGACTCGCGACCAAACATTCCACTAACACAACCACGCGGGAGATGACACGGCGGGGGTGGGAGCTGCCCCAGCCGCCCCTCCCGCAGACCACCTCTGCAGGCCCCCCAGCCTTCTTGGGTCAACTCTGGGGGGGAGCAACTCTACAACAGAGACCCCAATCCTGCCCGCGCAGCGGCCCTCACGCTCCCCATCGCCGGGGCAGGTGCCAGGCGCGTGCTCTCTGCGGCCGCACACCAACAGTAACAGACGGACCTGCTTTCTCAGCGCACGGCGAGCGCCCTGACCGTTCCCACATCCCCCAACGTACGGGACCTGATGTTTTTTTCACTACACTGCAGAGACAATTTTCTGTTCCTTGATTTTGTTATACATTTCTGACATCATCTTATGACATCAGCATTAAAAAGACAGAGTGGGAGATCAGGCTTTGATAATTCCACAAGTCTAGTCTGGAAAAAGGGCATTTTCCTTCCCAATAGCTAATTCTTCCCAGTCTTTTCCCAATATATGGAACTACCCTCCCATGGCACATCATCATCATTCTTGCCACAAACTGCCATGAGTCACTGGACAAAGGCCCCATCTTCAGGTTCAAAAATCCCAGTCAGACTTAATAGCGTCATCTTTTTGTTTTATTTTGAAATAAAATCAAATCCTAAAATTCAGTAGAAGATGAATTACAACTGGCTTTCCTGACATCACCATAAAGCACAGAGCCACAGGCTCCGAGCATCTCGGAGCGGTGGTCCACGCAGACCAACTCTGTGCATTTGTGTAGTCTATAATAAGTGCCTTTGCCACAGCTCAAGTGTTAAGTTCATGTACAGCCTCAAGTAAAACACTGATTCTGAAATTTTTTCATTCATCTGGGAATTCATTAGTAAACAGCTAAGGGCTGATAGCTGGTGGTTATTCTGTTACCAATATATCAACTCACTTCTACTGGAACCAGCTGGAAAAAAGCTTTAGTTTAGCTTTAGGCAATTACATGCAGACGAGAAAGGCGAATTGGTAGTTTCATTTTTAAGAGTTAAAGTGGCTGGGAATGTTACGCTTAAGGATAAAACAGTAAGAAGGCTTTATTCTGAAAACAAAACATTTACACCCCTTTTCTCTCTCTTTTTTTAATTTTATTCATATATCTGAGGTAAAGGGAATATTGAGGGAGAAGCCCCACCCAGTCTCCCACCCTCCCCGGGTCCCCGATGTGGGGCGTGCTCTGAGATACTGGCTCAAGTGGTTTGCAAAAAGCCAGCTGGTGGTTGCAATTGCTCGGTTGGTTTTGTTTTCAGCCCCGGCTTCCACAGGAACCAATTGGTGTTACAGTCCAGGCTGGTTCTGCCCAGCACACACTCAGCCCTCACATAAACCAGTGGGAGCTGCAGCCTAGTCAGGGTGACCCACAATAACCCCCACCAGACCCGCCCCTGCCCTGGTTTGCCAGTATGTGCAGCAGACTAGTCCAGTCTGTCCCACATCCCATTTGGCTCTCGTACATGTCAAAGGGTACTGAAGCTTAGTTCCATCTAACCAGCTCAACTATCCAGCCCTCACAGATGCTGCTGAGTGCCTCGCTGTCTAGCCACCCCAACCCCTGTCCTAGTTTTCGTGCCCTCCCGTGGGAGTGGTAACCCAAGAGGGAGGAGCCCACTGTTTCCCTCCCAGGTCTCTCACTCCCGGTTTATGCACTCTCCAGGTGGTTCTGTGGTTTGACTTGACAGAATTAGCCCCCAGTGCCAGTTTCTGCCAGCTGATGCTGCAGCTAAGCCCAAACAACCCTCACCCACTCTAATTTATGCTTGCACCAGTAGGAATAATCAGCCCAGCCTGGCTTTTCCCTGATCTAGTCCACATGAGGCACACAGGTGTTGCAGCCCTGCTTAGTCTGGTCTGCCCCCATCGCGGCTCATGCTCTCCTGTGGGAGTAGCTGTGCAGCAAGGGAACCCTCCCTTATTGCCCTGTCGGCTCTGCCCTCTTCCTGATTCTCACGTGTGCTGCTTGGTGCTGCGGTCACATCTGGCACAGGCAGCCTCACCTTGGCATTCTGTGTTGTGTACTGCTTTCGTCGCGACCGAACCTGGTTCAACCCACACTCTGCTCCAGCACTTGGAGTTGCCAGTGGATGATGAAAACTGGTTCAGCCTGGTCTGTCCCCAAACCATGCCAAATGTATGCCAGTAGGTAACTTTCCACGGCCTGTTCTGGGCTGTTTCCTATCATGCTTCTTGCGCTCACCTGCAGGGTCTGTGTCCTGTCAGAGGAGTTGCCCAGGCTCCTCCATCAGAACCCCTCCCAATGCCAGATTTTGCGCATACCAGTGGGTTCATGAGCCAGAACTACTCAGTTCACCTCCTGTCCTAGCAGGAACAGTGGCTTTTGCTGACTGACCTTCAACCCAATCTGGTTCTTGATGTTGGATGTTTCAGCGCAGCCACAGCTTGTCCATACCCACATACAGCTCATATGTGGCTCAGTTGGGGTTGAGACCTTGCCTAGTCCGTCCCACATCTACCCTGGTCCTCCAGAACACCAGAAGGTGTTGCAGTCTGACCCGGCCTGGTGCGTCTAGTCCCAGTCCACACTTGTGCCAAGGGAGACTCCAACTGTAACCCGATCAGAACACAGCCCCACTTCAGCTCATGTGCCCCTTAGTGGGTACCTCCTCCAGCTAGGGTTTCCTCTTAGCTCCCCAGCCGGGCCCGTTCCCAGCCAGTGTCCAGTCTGCCAGTGGTTGTTCTGACTCAGGCACAACCCGTCGCCTATCACGACCCCTGCCTTAGACACTGTGGCTCAGCGTCCGCGCCTCACACAGACCAAATGGTGCAAGAACCTAGTTGGGCATGTCGTGTGCCCCGTCCTGGTTTCTAATTTAACTTGTGAGCTAAGGTTTGCTCAGTACTGCCCGGTGCACCCGTTCTATCTTCCGAGGAAGAATTACTGTCTTTGGGAATCTTCAGGATTGATTCACTTCCCCAAAGCACTGTGGGTTCAGCATGGAGCTACCTAAGCAGCGACTCAAAGAACATAAAATCCCAAGGCTCTCCGGCCAGCAGGCAGGGCCTGGCATCAAATGGTGCACTGGCCACCCCGGGACAGCTCACCTCGTGCACATGGCCCTGGACCAGGCCTGCCTGAGCTCCAGCAGCTGCCTTCCTAGGGGTAAGCCTGGGGCTTTGTTAGGCAGGCCTCGAGCTTGAGAGGCGGAGGGTTAGGGACGTGGCCTTGGGCTTGGGGATTTGAACTTCCAACAGCCGCCCGGCAGCTGGGAGCTCTCAGGACAGCACACCTTTTCTCTTTAATGCATACGATAAAAACACGCCAAGGGAGTGAAACCATCTCCAACGCCTACAGGGTCACTGTTTCTATCTGCTCAGAACACCAACAGGCCATATTTCATCACTATCTAACAAAAAATCCTAAAGAATACTTCGGACCTAGATACAATTTTGTGTCTTGACTTGAAAAATAAAAAAGTTAGGGTGACTCCTACTGAAGGAGAAATGTTTGGGGTTCTAATAGCATTTGCTTTGCTAAAAGCTTTATCAGCTAAAAGAACACCAACAAGTCACAAATAACTTAATCCAGCACCTAGCATTCCGCTTGACAACAGGCGCATCGCACGGCCTCTCACACTCTTCCTGAACCTAAGCACCCTCTCTTCCCACGCTCCTGAGGCCCACACTGCAGGGCAGTCCAATCCACGCGAGACCCACACAGCACGGACAGTCCGATCCGCCCGAGACCCACACAGCACGGACAGTCCGATCCGCCCGAGGCCCACACTGCACGGGCAGTCCAATCCACCTGAGGCCCACACAGCATGGGCAGTCCAATCCTGGAATCCTGCAGGAAGAGCCTGGAAGGGATGGATGCTGGAGAGGCAGTCACACGGCAGGCTCCAAGGCAGACCCCAGTCGTGCAGGCAAGATGTTACTCGGGCATGCTTGAAAGCAATGAGGGAGGATCCAGCACAGTAGCCTAGGGGCTAAAGTCCTTGCTTACAACCTTGGGATCCCACAAGGGTGCCAGTTCATGTCTAGGCTCCACTTGCCTTCTAGCTCCCTGTTTGTGGTCTGGGAAAGCAGTAGAGAACAGCCTAAAGCCTTGGGATCCTGCACCCACATGGGAAGCCAGGAGGAGGCTCCTGGCTCCTGATCAGCTCAGCTCCAGTTGCTGTGGCCAATTGAGGATTTAATCGGTGGACAGAAGATGTTTCTCTCTGTAAACCTGCCTTCCCCCCAACAAAAAACAAAACCAAAACCAAAACAAAACCGGTGAATATTTTCAAAAAGCAGCCCGGGGAGAAAGGGCTCAGCATTGTAGCCTAGTGGCTAAAGTCCTTGCCTGGACGCACTGGGATCCCATTTAGGCACCAGTTCTAATCCCAGCAGCCCCACATTCCTTCCAGCTCCCTGCCTGTAGCCTGGGAAAGCAGCAGAGGACGGCCCAAAGCCTTGGAACCCTGCACCCACATGGGGACCCAGAAGAGGTTCCTGGCTCCTGGCTAGAGATCGCCTCAGCTCCAGCCATTGTGGCAACTTGGGGAGTGAATCAGTGGACGGATCTACATATCTGACTTTCCAGTAAAAATTAATAAATATTTAAAAACAAAAATCAATGAGGCTGCCACTCCATCAGGGCGCAGCCCTCGAGAGGAGCGACCTCTGGAGGGATGCCCCTCAGGGTACAGCCCACAGAGCTTTGTCTCTGCTCCGCTCTGTATACCTGACTTTGCAATAAAAATACATAAGTCTTTTTAAATAATTTTCATTTTAAATTTTGAATTTTATGCTATAATTCTGTAGTGTATGGGAATCCCCTCCCTCCAACTTCCACCCCGACCAATCGACCCCATATTGTTACAACAGCACAGTCCTTCAAAAGGAGTTAGGATTCCATCAGCCCACTGCTGGAGTGCGCCCTACATTGCTGGCACAGGCAACGTCAGACAGTCCGTCATTCCGTTGTCTACACACGTCCAACACTTTCACTGGGAGTCCTTTTGTCTGGAAGTAGGGATGCGTGTTGCATCGTATCTTCACGTTTGGATTCGGCACTCTCTTATCACTCCACCACTGTACATTCCAATTTACATGATAGATTCCTTATATCAGAGAGAACATATGGTATTTCTCTTTTTGGGATTGACTTATTTCACTGAGCGTAATGGTCTCTAGTTGGGACCATCTAGTTGCAAATGGTATAATTTCATTCTTTTTAATGTCTAATATTCCATGAAGTAGATGTACCACAGTTTCCTTAACCACTCCTCTTTGGATGGGCATCTGGGTTGTTTCCACGTTTTTGCTATTGTAGATTGTGCTGCTGTAAATATAGGATTACAGATCCCCTTCCCATATATGGTTTTAATTCCTGTTGGGTATATTCCTAGGAATGGGATAGCTGGGTCATATGACAGGTTTATTTGCAGTTCTCCAAGCACTCTCCACACTGATTTCCACAGTGGTTGTACTAGCCTACACTCCCACCAGCAGTGAAGGAGGGTGCCTTTCTCCCCACATCCATGCCAGCAGGTGTTGTTAGTTGAGATCTGAATGTAGGCCAGTCTCATTGGAGATAGGTGGTACCTCAATGTGGTTGTCATTTGTATCTCTCTGATGGCTAGAGAGCCTGAGCGTCTTTTCATGTCTGTTAACCATTTGACTCTGTTCTTCTGAAAAATGTCTGTTCATTACCTTCGTTGATTTTTTCACAGGGTTTTTTTCCCCTGGGTTTCTGCAGCTCTTTGTAAATCCTGGATATTAGTCCCCTATCACTTGTGTAGTGTGCAATGATTTTCTCCCATTCTGTTGGATGCTTCTTCACTTTGTCAATTGTTTCCTTTGCTGCACAGCCCACACATGTATAGCCAACTAATCTTTGACAAGAAAACTGAAAACAATCCAGGGAAAAAGTCTGGTCTCTTCAACAATGCTGTTGGGACAACTGGATAACAGCCTGCAGAATAAAGAAGCAAGGCCGGCACCTGTCACAGTATACGAAAATCAGCTCTAAATGGATCAAGGATTTAAATTTGCACCCAGAAATCATAAAATTATTAAAGGAAAACATAGGAAGCACTCTCCAAGAAATGGGAATGGGAAAAGACTTCTTAGAAAAGACACCAAAAGTACAGGCAGTCAAAGCCAAAATGAACAAACGGGACTACATCAAAATAAATAAATCTTTAAAAAAAAAAAAGCAACAAGCATGCTATGCAAAATACCAGGAAACAAAAAGCCTATTAAAATGTAGTTATAGAAATTAGAATAAAATCTTGAACAGAAGGAACTGTAAACTATTATTTCCTAAAACTCTTTTTAATTTCCTAATTACACCTCTTGTTATCTGTATATTTATAATACCATGCTTTCCAGCTCAACTGGCTAATCACTCATCTGCAAGCACCAGTAACCCATATGGGCGCCGGTTCGTGTCCCAGCTGCGCCATTTCCTGTCCAGCTCCGTTTGTGGCCTGGGAAAGCAGCCCAAAGCTTTGGAACATGCAACCGTGCTGGAGACCCGGAGAAGGCTCCTGGCTTCAGACAAGCTCAGCTCTAGCCACTGCAGTCATTTGGGGAGTGAACCAGCGGATGGAAGATCTTTCTCCCTGTCTTTCTGTAAATCTGGTTTTCCAATAAAAATTTTAAAAATATTTAGAACTTACAAAGTCTTATTTTCAACCTTTTTTGTGCAATGCCACTCTTGTAACTAATATTAAAATAGCGAGAATCACCATTTCAGTTAACAAAATAAAAGCAGGAGAACAATTATTTCTTAAGTTCACTGCTAACTTACGTGCCGCAAGTAGTACCTCGTAAGGCAGGGCCCAGGCACTCAGAGGGCACCCACCCCACATGCAGAGTCACTGTGCCACGGCCACCAGACAGGGCCGGGGCACGGCCGGAATCACTGGTACACCAGCCTTTCTGCCACCTCCGAAGACACCCTCTCTAGGCCTCAACCATGCCACTGTGCCACCTGCTATCACTTGAAAATATGAACAGGAAGAGGAATAAGGCAATGACATGTTTCATCTGCAAGAAGAGACGACCATGCTGGCTTCACTTCAGGTTCAGCAGGCTTGTCTGCACTCCTGCCACCACTAACAGGGCAGAGACAGAAGTGATGTCCCTGGGCAGCAGCTGCAGTGCCCACCCTTCCACACAGAACCACGGTCTCCAGGCGGCCACCAGGAGCCAACTCTGTCAAGAGCAGCTTACACAAACATGGCTCTTCCTGCTGCCTGGGCCAGAAGATTCTTCATGCAGAATTATGAGAAAGGATTTTTTTTCTCTTCGAACATAGAAATCATCATAAAATTATTTTTAAAACTACTTTTTCATAGCTTGGTATGTAATAACCATATGGGGAATAATTTAGAGTTGAATTTAATTTGAAGGCTTCAATATTTTTAAAGTCACACTGGACATGCAGGAATCATAACAGCTCACTTGATTTTACGGCCACCTATCTTCATCAATTCCCTCCCGTGCGCCTGAAACCCTCACTTTCCGCATCTCAACAGCATCACCCAAAGGAACCAAACGCTCGATTATGCAGCAGAATAATGCAGTAGTGAGAAAGGTGAGGAAGAAAGCCACGTACATCCAGTACCAGAGTGGCCAAATCACCCTAAAACTCACTTACGGGCAAAACTATGCGCATCGATGGGTACAAAAAATAAGCAACTCCAAGCCACCAATTCGGAATCCTTTGAATTACCAGCAGCTGTAACCTGGGCATGACAGCAGCAGGTACAACTGCCACCATGAGACACCGATGGGTAAGCAGGCAATGCTGAGAGCGCTCACAGTGAAGCTCAGCGGGCCCAGCTCCACTGACAGGCGACACGCCAGCCCAGGCCCCTCTGCAAGCTGGATGCATCGAAGGGCTCGCGCACCCCAGGTCCACTGACAGACAGAAGACACGCCAGCCCAGGCTCCCTCTGCAAGCTGGACACACTGAGGGCTCGCGCACCCCAGGACTTCCTGGGACCAGGACACATCGGAGGGTTCGCGCACCCCAGGACTTCCTGGGACCTGGACACATCGGAGGGTTCGCGCACCCCAGGACTTCCTGGGACCTGGACACATCGGAGGGCTCGGGCACAAAATCCCAGGACCCCCTGGGAGCTGGACGCATCAGAGGGCTCACGCATCCTAGGATCCCCTGGGACTTGGACACTATCAGAGGGCTCGGGCACAAAACCCCAGGACCCCATGGGACCTGGACACATCGGAGGGCTCGGGCACAAAACCAGGACCCTCAGCGAAGTCCTGTGCACTGACTGTCCTGACTGGCACTCTGCAGTGCCCGCCAGCAGCCCCGCCTCCCTGCAGGCGCTGCACCTAGCTGCAAGGCACACACGGAGAGCAAATTCAGGGCTTAGGTGATGCCAACCACAGCCTCTTACCACAACGGGGCTCTTGAGGGGTCCCCTTCATGAACAGCATGCAGGGGGCGGCGTGGGTTAACTGCTTCAGGCGGACACTGAGGTCTTCCTTGGGGTGCTCACTCGCGGCGGGAGGGAAGGAGCCACTCGCCGCGTGTCGCTGGACTTTCTTGGTCAACTCGGGGGCATGGGCACCATCTAATCGGTCGATTTTCTGAGAATTCTAAAGTAACAAAACATTAGAATACACACGGGATTCCTTCGCTATCTCTACAAAAAATCTCCAGGATGAGCTGCTACATGCGTGTAGCTGATTTGTTTTTTTTAAAGAATTAACAAACAGGGCCCAGGGCGATACCCAGCAGCTAAATTCTCTAAATCTTGAGTGTGCTGGGATCCCATATGGGCGCCAGTTCTAATCCCTGCGGCTCCACTTCCCATCCAGCTCCCTGCCTGTGCCCAGGGAAAGCAGTCGAGGACGGCCCAAAGCCTTGGGACCTGCACCCGCATGGGAGACCCCGAGGAAGCTCCTGCCTCTGACTTCAGATCAGCCTGGCTCCAACCTTTGCGGCCAACTGGGGAGTGGAACCAGTGGATGGAGGATCTTTCTCTCTGTATCTCCTCTCTGTAAATCTGCCTTGCCAATAAAAATAAATAAATGTTTAAAAAAAGAGAAAATCATTTATGAAAAAAATGAAAACACCCGGTTACATCTGCCAGCCTCGCACATCCACTTCAAGAAATACAAAATGTTCTGGTTCTCCCCAGGAAGCGTACTGGGCAAACACTGCAACATCTCACTGTGAGACCAGAGACAAAAGAAGCGACTTCCACCCTCCTTGGGGAGAATCTATTACGATGTAGAAATGAGTTCTGGGGGTTATGGTACCCCCTGGTGCCCTGAAATCATCCATCAAGCCAAAACTGACCATTATACCCAAGCAGACGCCCTCCACAGCCACCATGGAGCTCAGCTCAGGACCCTCCAGCTGCCTGCTGCTGTCTGCCTCTGCTGGGCACAGCCCCCAGGCCCATGCAGCTGGGACCCTCCTGCTGCTGTCTGCCTCTGCTGGGCACAGCCCCCAGGCCCACGCGGCTGGGACCCTCCTGCTGCTGTCTGCCTCTGCTGGGCACAGCCCCCAGGCCCACGCGGCTGGGACCCTCCTGCTGCTGTCTGCCTCTGCTGGGCACAGCCCCCAGGCCCACGCGGCTGGGACCCTCCTGCTGCTGTCTGCCTCTGCTGGGCACAGCCCCCAGGCCCACGCGGCTGGGACCCTCCTGCTGCTGTCTGCCTCTGCTGGGCACAGCCCCCAGGCCCACGTGGCTGGGACCCTCCTGCTGCTGTCTGCCTCCGCCCGCCCAGGCCCACGCGGCTGGGACCCTCCTGCTGCTGTCTGCCTCTGCCCGCCCAGGCCCACGCGGCTGGGACCCTCCTGCTGCTGTCTGCCTCCGCCCGCCCCCAGGCCCACGCGGCTGGGACCCTCCTGCTGCTGTCTGCCTCTGCTGGGCACAGCCCCCAGGCCCACGCGGCTGGGACCCTCCTGCTGCTGTCTGCCTCTGCCCGCCCAGGCCCACGCGGCTGGGGCCCCGGACCCTCTTGCCCTTACCTTGAAGAACAGGAAGGTGGGGACTGACGTGATGTCGTATTTCTCAGATACTTCAGGAACAGCCTCAGCTTCCAGCTTTAAGACAAAAGAATTCAAGCTTGATTACGGTAAGATTCTCTTCTCTACTGCGATACGGAAATCAGCGTCTCAGCGTTATCCGTTCAAGTGCTGGCATTTTTGAACACTGCAGCACCAAAGCCTGTGACATGTTTACATTTAAATGAGGCACACCGGGCTGGCATGTGGCCCACGAGTCCATGGTGTGCAGACGGGCTCACAGGTTTTTATTTGGTTGCACATTTCAAAAGATGCCTCGAGGCTGTGAATAAAATTTTTGGTGCACTAGTGACCTAGTAAATTTTCAATCCTATGCAGCGACGACTATATTGAAGTCCATCCATCACTGACCCGGTTATGTCATCAGAGTGCTGATAACCTGCCCACAGCGCTTCTGGCCGCTCGCTCTATTGACTAATTTCAGGAGGCAGTACATCATGAGTGACAGCCGCAGCCTTCTGCAAATTAGGAAGCAAAAAGCAGCATTTCTTCAATAAACTATCGATGACGATCATTTTTAACTCCTGCAAGGCCACCGGCCGATGAGCAGGTGTGCTGCCGGCCCCTGGAGAGCTGCAGACTGCAACCACTGACAACCAGGTGGCCACACTGCGTGCCCTTAAAGTCCCTCCACGATGGGACAGCTGATGCTAAGATTGAAAATACATTTACTGATATAACTTCTAGGTAGTTAAAATATAACCATTGTAAGCAATTCATGTGGGTCTTCATAAGCAATATACTTTGAAAAAAGCTAAAGCATTTTTTTCCACAAAGGATTGTCAGTCTAACGTAAACTTCTGAAACAAAAATCCATATTCACATTGTACCTGCAGGAAATAGCTTATTGATAACTGATATTGTTAAAAGTTGTTAAAACACATGTACTCTATCCAGGAGGGAAAGATTTCCACTGGGCTTCAAATCCCGTTTCTACCTAGAGCTCTGCCCAGCGGGCTGCCACCGGGAGGCAGCCGTACCTCCTGGTCTGGACTCTCAGACACTGCCCAGCCGGCCGTCACCGGGAGGCAGCCGTACCCCCCTCTCGGAGGCATGGGGTCCCATGCAGGCTGTCACTGTGCCCACAGGGACGGAGGCAGGGGGTCCCATGCAGGCTGTCACTGTGCCCACAGGGACGGAGGCAGGGGGTCCCAAGGCACAGCCCTGAATGGGTGCTTCCTTCCACTTCACAGGCCATCGTGATGCGGAGAGAGCATGCCCAGACCTCTCATCTCGCTCCAGACTCACACTCAGCACCTGTGGCCCACGCCTGGCTAAGCATCCCTCCACTGGCCCTCCTCCCAGGCCTCTGCAGCTCACCAGGCCTGGCTAAGCATCCCTCCACTGGCCCTCCTCCCAGGCCTCTGCAGCTCACCAGGCCTGGCTAAGCATCCCTCCTCTGGCCCTCCTCCCAGGCCTCTGTAGCTCACCAGGCCTGGCTAAGCATCCCTCCACTGGCCCTCCTCCCAGGCCTCTGCAGCTCACCAGGCCTGGCTAAGCATCCCTCCACTGGCCCTCCTCCCAGGCCTCTGTAGCTCACCAGGCCTGGCTAAGCATCCCTCCACTGGCCCTCCTCTCAGGCCTCTGCAGCTCACCAGGCCTGGCTAAGCATCCCTCCACTGGCCCTCCTCCCAGGCCTCTGCAGCTCACCAGGCCTGGCTAAGCATCCCTCCACTGGCCCTCCTCCCAGGCCTCTGCAGCTTGCCGGGCCTGTGCTGGTGTTCCACTCTAGAGGAGAGCTGACTGGTCTAACTTCAGAACGTACGTCATGACATCACTGGAAGCCTTCTCGCTGCTCCCCCGGAGCCCAGCATCTGCCCCTGGCCTGGGGGAGCCAATGGCCCCCAAAGCCAGCTGACCCAAGTCAGAGGGAAGTGGCTCGCACCCCCGCGCACCTGAGTAAGACCTGAACCCCTCCACTGTCATCACAGGAAGATTCTGAAAGTGACATTTTTGTAACTTTAAAAAACCATTTTGCCAAAGTCAGCCCCCAAATAGTTAACAAACCATATTACTCATGGAATAGGTCCAATCTAGGTTATTTAAATTACAGCACCTGTGACATGGAATCCTATATCGGCTAAGATGGAGAACACTAGCCTGGTGGTAGGACACCTGCTGGAGCACATCAGCGCCCAGGTTGAGGTTTTCAAACCCCAGCTTCCTGCTAAGGCAGCTGTGAGCAGCCAGGAGCACGGCCCCACAGCGGGCTCCCCCGAGGCCTGGCCCCAGCCTGGTCAGGGGCAGTGTCTGGGCAGTCCATCAGCGGGCAGCACGGCCCCACAGTGGGCTCCCCCGAGGCCTGGCCCCAGCCTGGTCAGGGCCAGTGTCTGGGCAGTCCATCAGCAGGCAGCACGGCCCCACAGCGGGCTCCCCACAAGCCTGGCCCCGGCATGGTGAGGGGCAGTGTCTGGGCAGTCCATCAGCAGGGAGCTTTTCTGTCTCACAGTTCTTCCCTGATTAAGTAGACTTTTAGGAATCTATCTGTGTGAACTGTACCTTTCACATGGCTGCATACTTGAATTAATCAAACTGCAAAGATTCTTATTTTTGTAAGAAATGTAAAAAGGGGGGGCCTGGCGCAATAGTGCAGTGGTTAAAGTCCTCACCTTGCACACGCTGGGATCCCTTACAGGTGCCAATTTTAATCCCGGCGGCTCTGCTTCCTGTCCAGCTCCCTGCCTGAGGCCTGGGAAAGCAGTCGAGGATGGCCCAAAGCCTTAGGACCCTGCACCTGCGTGGGAGACCCGGAAGAGCTCCTGGCTCCTGGCTTGGGATTGGCTCAGCTCCAGCAGTTGCAGCAGCAGTTGCAGCCGCTTGGGGAGTGAATCATCGGACAGAAGATCTTCCTCTCTTTCTCCACTCTGTACATTTGCCTTTCCAATAAAACTAAATAAATCTTAAAAAAAAAAAAAAATGCACAAGGGGCCAGCACCATTGCATAGTAGGCTAAGCCTCCGCCTGGAGCACTAACATCCCCTATGGCCGCCAGTTCAGGTCCCGGCTGCTCTACTTCCCATCCGGCTTCCTGCTTGTGGTCTGAGAAAGCAGCAGAGGATGGCCCAAGCCCTTGAGACCCTGCACCAACATGAAAGACCCGGAGCGGCCTCCTAGCTTCGAACCAGCCTAGCTGCAGCCATCTGGGCCATTTGGGCAGTGAACCAGCAGATGCAAGATCCATCTCTCTCTCTCTGTCTTTCCTTTTCTGTCTATAAATCTGTCTTTCAAATAAGAATAAAAAATTTGTTCTCAAATAAAAGCATAGCAGAGCCCTCTGGAGCCAGCACAACAGCTCATCTGGCTTATTCTGCACCTCCAGGCACCCACAGAAGCCCATCTGGGTGCCAACTTGCATCCAGCTGCTCCACTCCCCACGCAGAAAAGCAGCAGAGGGTGGGCCAACGCCTTGGGACCCCTTATCCTCTTGGAAGACCCGGAAGAGGCTCCTGGCTCTGGATCAGCTCAGCTCTGGCTGCTGCTGCCACTCGGGAAGTGAGTCGCAGACACGAGACCTCTGGCACTCCTCTCTAGAAATCTGTCTTTCCAATAAAAACAAATATGTCTTTTTTTAAAAGAACTCTACAAAATAAAATTACCATGACACAGCTGAAATTAAAAAATCAAAGGACACACATTTCAGTGAGTAACTATTTCACGTCCCCGGCCTTGTATCCAAGACAATAAAACGCAGAGCAGCTGCCGAACGGCGACGAGGCCACCCGGGGCCCTGCAGGTGCACACTGCCGAGGCAGGCACCCCTGAACCCCGTGTAACAGGACCCATCCCTGCAGACAGCAGCCAGACAGCACCTAGGCCGACTTCCTCACCAGCAGCTCGCTCTTCCTCTTCCCATCCTCACTCCCTCCGCCAGGCGACTCGGTGACACCGTGTACTGCCATTCACCGGAAGACGCAGTGACAGGCCCAGCAGGATAGAGCCCTAACAAACCATGGCACCTGACACTGTAACCCTGTGCTCTCTTGTGAATAACTTTTCAGCCAACTGAAGTAAGGCTTGCAGCGCCTATAGGCCCCTGCAGGTGTGAGGGCCCCAGGAGGCACCAGAGCTGTGGTGACCGAGGCAGGGGGATGCCACCTGCCCTATGGCACACGGAAAAGCACGGACATATGCCAGTGCATCGCCAGCGCTACACACAGGACCAGTCTTTAAGCATTCAATCCCAGGGAGCGCCAACACTCTGATCAATAACGTCTCTATTACTAACTTCCCTAAGACGGTATTCATCATCCCCTGCTAGTTCAGAACTCTTACTTATATGCTGCTGCAAGTCTCCAGCACAAAACCGACTAATCCCTCTATTCCACAAATGAAAAACTCCAGCAATTGCATCAAAAAAAAAAAAGCACATTTAAGAAATAAAATTAAAAGACATGGATGGAGCAATAGAACATTGGTTGTATATTGTAGACATTTCCAAAAGCCTTCATTAACACAAGTGTTTTCTGGGCTGGCACCATGGCATAACATGCTAAGACTCGGCCTGGGTGCAGACTCGAGTCCCAGCTGCTCCCTTATGATGTGCCTGGGAAAGCAAGGGAACACAGGTCAAACGCACGAGACCCACATGAAGCTTCTGGCTCCTGGCTTCAGCCTGGCCCAGAGCGGCCAGTGTGGTTATCTGGAGAATGAACCAGTGGACGGGAGACCTCTCGCTCCTCTCTCCATAACACTGCCTTTTAAATAAGAGAATCTTTTAAAAAATGCTGTTGAAGTGAACTGCGCACAGCTTAGTGGTCAAGGTCAACAACCTCTGTAGCTGTGCACCCGTCGTTTGCTCACTGCCGTTAGCAGGTGCCTCGAGGCGACCTTACCAACGTCCACATGGCTCTGCCCTGGACGGCAGCTAACCAATGAGACCATACAGACTCAATTTCTGGACGTGATGACGGAGGACCAGCCAAGCTGAAGCTGTGGTTGTGTCCAACAAAGGCTCAGATACGACCGGCACAAGCCCACGGAGGGCTGCCCGCCCTCGGCCCCTGGCACCAGCCCATGGTCAGCTGCTGCCCTCAACCCTGGCACGAGCCCACACAGGGCTGCTGCCCTTGGCCATGGAGACTGAAATCTCACCACCACTGCTGGTCCCAAAGTGAGAAGTAACTCTAGAGTTACTTTAAATAAATGATTCCAACAGCAGCTGAGAGCAGTGCGTTACCTAGACCAGTAACACTATACAAAAAGCAGACTTGGAACAATTACCATCAACGTGGCTGATCTTACAACTGACTCATTTAACCAGTCGGTCCACTTGTAATCATTATCTCTTATCACTGAGCACGCATGAAGATTTAATGTCCCTACCTAGTATTTATACAGGACATTTTAGGGCTAAAGTCACATGACATTTTCACTGTAACTTTCAAAAAGCTCTTAAATTTTGAAAATCTAACATTTTAAAAAATATTTATTTTTATTGGAAGGTCAGATATGAAGAGAAGAGAAGAGAAGAGAAGAGAAGAGAAGAGAAGAGAAGAGAAGAGACGAGACGAGACGAGACGAGAAGAGAAGAGACAGAGAGGAAGATCTTCCGTCCGCTGATTCACTCCCCAAATGGCTGCCACGGCCGGAGCTGAGCTGACATGAAGCCAGGAGCCAGGAGCCTTTTCAGGTTCTCCCATGCAGGTGCAGGGTCCCAAGGCTTTGGGCTGTCCTCTATTGCTTTCCCAGGGCACAGGCAGGGAGTTGGATGGGAAGTGGAGCAGCCAGGACATGAACCAGCACCCATATGGGATCCCGGGGTGTGCAAGGTGGAGGACTTTAGCCACCAGGCCACCACACTGCACCCAAAAATCTAACTCTTACACGTATATTTGCCTTATCTGCATGAACCACTGGGAGGATTCCCACGTGGCTCCCTGCAGCTCCTCAGGGTGTGGGCCCCGGCTGAAGGGAGGAGGCCCCGGAGCACACAGCCGAGTCATGTCTACCCAAAGCACACTTCCCTCTACAGAAGCTGTCTGAAGCTTTCATCACAACACAAACCAACAGCTTGTCAGAATTTTGCCTTCAGTTTCCATGGAGATCACAAACAGCTGATCTGCTTAACCCCTCTTACAGACTGAACGCGTCCCAAATGCTGCTTTCAACAAATAAGGCTTTGGGGGCTAGCACAGGGGTTCATTAGGCTGACCCTCCACTCAGCAGCACCAGGATCACATATGTGCCCTGGTTCGAATCCCAGCAGCTCCAGGTCCTTGGGCCCCTGCATGTGGAAGACCAAAGAAGCTCCCAGCTTCAGATCAATACAGCTCAGGCCATTGTGGCCATCAGAATCAGTGGACAGAAGCTCTCACTCTCTCCATCTCTCTTGTCTCTACAACTCTGCCTTTCAAATAAATAAGCCTTTACAAATAAACAGAGAAAAAAGCTTTGAGTTTTGTTAGCAAGGTTCCTGAACACAGGTAGGCCTCCCTTTCCAACAACTCTCAAAATGAAGCCCCGCCTGATTCCGTGAGATGTGTACTTGGGGCCACACTCACCGGTCACTTACCCCCGGAGAACGGGGGCTGCAGGACCTGCAATGGGAGGCGTGGCTCGCCGGGCACTTACCCCCGGAGAACAGGGGCTGCAGGACCTGCAACGGGAGGCGGGCACAGCAACAGTTGGTAGGGGCCTACCGCCTTCCAGCCTTCTCGGCACCCCAAAAACCTCACAGGCTTTCTGGTTACTGACTTCCAGGCAGCCACTTCTCCCTAAGCCCTGGTCCCCACAGCCCATGGATCCTGTTTGGGAGCCCCACGCAGGTCTGCTGTCAGCCGGGTCTGCCGTCAGCTACCCACAGCCGGGTCTGCCATCAGCTGGGTCTGCCGTCAGCTACCCACAGCCAGGGTTTAGTCTGCTTTACTCTAAACGCTTCTGTTCTCACGGTATGTCCACACGTTCACGGCGACATCCTCCCACCCAAAGATGCTAAGGAAACTGATTTTACACTACTTGAAAAATGCAAAACTACCTCAAAAACTACCTAAGGAAAATCGATTGTGAAAATAACAAATCGCAACAGCTATCAATATTTGAACTCTCACACCATTCCTCTCATGTATTCATTCATCATACATCAGAATTAAAGTTTTAAAAAATGACAACAAAATGTCTTACCTTCACAAATGAAATGTGCCGGTGTTCCTTGGCCAGCTCCGCCATGACCTCGTTCATCTGCGCACACTGAGGAGCCCACGGCGCCCAGAAGTGGACCACGAGGAGGGACCTGTCCGCCAAGAAAGCATGTTCTTGAAACACAGCACGAACTCCACGCGAGCAGACCCACGGCCTGTGAGAACGAGCACGAGGGCCCGAGACCCTCTGCGATGCATTTCCACTTCACAGTACTTCTGGAGTCAATGTTTAGTCCACCAGAGGAGGTTCTGAAAATTCACCCATCTGCATAGAGCTGGGCAAATCCACTGTGCTTTCAGACCCTTGAGCAAAACAGACTGAATTTCTGTGCCAGAGGCACAGGTTTAAAACAAAGTGGCAGATGCATTCTTACACTAAAGCCAGAATTCGCTCTTTTAGAAACGGTGCCGTGATGAAGGGCTCGCTGGGAGACAGATCAGCACAAAGGGAGCGCGGCCACGCTTCTCACCAAGGCACTTCTTCACGCTGTCCTACTGTGAGCTTTCCAACTCTGAGATTTCAGAAAGTGTATTGCGAAAGGGACTTAAGAGGACATTGCAGGGGCCTTCGGCAGTGGCTGGGCAGCACATCACACGGGAGCAGGTCCGTCTAACCAATGTCCAGGCTCAGGCCCTGGGTCCCTGCTCTGCACACGGGACACCCCACTTCCTGCTGAGCCCACAGCCTCAGGCTCACTATGCAGCCATTTTCTAACTGAAACAGCAGATGAAGACCTGTCTCCCTGCCTTTCAAACAAGACCATTTTTAAAAGAAGAGTCTCACTACACTGTTGGTTAAATTCTTAAGCATCTCAGAGCTTCTCTGTCGTATTTCCACAGATAACTACTCTGGCTAGGTAACTTGAAGGTCTGCCGTCACGTGTCACTGAAAGGCCCTGAGTTTGGTTGGTTTCTAAGTTTATTCACTACTCCTTGTCTGAGAAAGTTCCAGGATGACTTCAGGACAAGGAGGCCTTGGGGGAGAGATGGCAGAGCACAACACATCCAGGAGAGGGCAGTGGCGCCCAGCAGAGCACCAGGAATGTGGAAATGGAGAGAAGGGCTGGGGTCGTGGGGGGCAACAGAGAAGCAGGGAACAGATGAGGTACAGCTCAGAGGCCACCTGCGCCTGCGACTCTCCCCTCCACCCCGAGACTGCCGCCTCTCCAGCTCCTGAGCCCCTGAGGGCCCCACAGCACACGGGGCAGCAAGAAGAGACTGGGAGCCGGTGTTGGAAGGGCTCAGCGTCCCAGCGGGCAGGCAGGTGGGCAGACAGGCAGACAGGCGTCGGGGAGGCCTGGGGCAGTCCAGGCAGCGGGAGTAGTGGGCCGCACCGCAGAGGCTGGCAGGCACCTGGTCCTAAAGAGATCTGTGTGGGCAGAAAAAAGCCCAGGTCAACAGACGGGCTCTTTCTTGTGAGGAGGGAACCATGCAAAGCAGAGGCAGAAGTAGAAGACCCACACGGCAGTGGGGAGTCGGAGCCTGCACAGCAGAGCAGGCCTGAGCCCAGGGCCCGGCCTGCAGGGAAGGACAGGGGGACAGAGGGCAGCAGGTGGTGGCCTGCAGGACTGCGCTCAGGAGCCTCTGCCTGCTCAAGCCTCACCTCCGGGTGGCTAACACAAGTCCACTTAGGCCGCGCACAAAGGCTCCCAGCGGCTCCCACCTAATAACCAGCCTGCAACCCCCACAAACCGGGTAGGTAACTCACCACTACAGACACACCCAGTACAAACTTGAAGACTGAGAGCAGCAGCCGCCAGGCACAGCAGCAGAGCTGGGGGAGTCTGCCAGGCCACGGAACAAGAAGCACTCACCTACAGCAGCCACCCCAGGGCCCGTCCTGGATGGTTCACCAGTGTGTACACAGCTGTGACAACCCCTACCAAGGGCTAACACACCACCTACAAGGACACAGTCCAGAGCACGCTCGTTCAGAAACTGGCTAGCCACTTGTAATCCAGCTCCCTGCTCAGGTGTCAGGGAAAGCAGTGGACACAGCCCAAACACCCGGGCCCCTGACACCACGTGAAGCTCTGCATGGAGTTCTGGGGTCCCGCAGCCAGCGGATGGATGAGTTCTCTAACCCCACCTTTCAAACTACACGTTAAAGTGGGGGAGGATTCTGTAGCTGTCACGTTAAGCTGCCACTGGGACAGCACGTCCCACATCAGCTTCCTGGCACCTGGGAATCAGCAGGTGGCGGCCCGCGTACCAGCCCAGCAGCCCTGGAGCCACAGGACTGCGGACGGGGGGCCTTCTCCCACCTTCTTCCTCCTAAATGAATAAAGCCTCATGGCCTCACCTGTCACACCATCCAGACTTCCACACTGTATTAATGCAGGCACTCAATCCCTTGATCCTTTAGTAAATTTTTTCATCAAATTCACCAAGGCTTGTTTAAATCTTAAAGCAAAAAGAGATGCCCTCTCCTGGCACAGCACCCTACCGCGGTTCTCCACCCGCAGCCAGCCCACGCGGGCACACCCCCACCCGCAGCCAGCCCCAAGCGGGCACACCCCCACCCGCAGCCGACCCCACACGGGCACACCCCCACCCGCAGCCAGCCCACACGGGCACACCCCCACCCGCAGCCAGCCCCACGCGGGCACACCCCCACCCGCAGCCAGCCCACACGGGCACACCCCCACCCGCAGCCAGCCCCAAGCGGGCACACCCCCACCCGCAGCCAGCCCCACGCGGGCACACCCCCACCCGCAGCCGACCCCACACGGGCACACCCCCACCCGCAGCCAACACCACGCGGGCACACCCCCACCCGCAGCCAACACCACGCGGGCACACCCCCACCTGCAGCCGACCCCACGCGGGCACACCCCCACCCGCAGCCAGCCCCAAGCGGGCACACCCCCACCCGCAGCCAACACCACGCGGGCACACCCCCACCCGCAGCCGACCCCACGCGGGCACACCCCCACCCGCAGCCAGCCCCAAGCGGGCACACCCCCACCCGCAGCCAGCCCACACGGGCACACCCCCACCCGCAGCCAGCCCACGCGGGCACACCCCCACCCGCAGCCGACCCCACACGGGCACACCCCCACCCGCAGCCAACACCACGCGGGCACACCCCCACCCGCAGCCAACACCACGCGGGCACACCCCCACCTGCAGCCGACCCCACGCGGGCACACCCCCACCTGCAGCCGACCCCACACGGGCACACCCCCACCCGCAGCCAACACCACGCGGGCACACCCCCACCCGCAGCCGACCCCACGCGGGCACACCCCCACCCGCAGCCAGCCCCAAGCGGGCACACCCCCACCCGCAGCCGACCCCACGCAGGCACACCCCCACCTGCAGCCGACCCCACGCGGGCACACCCCCACCCGCAGCCGACCCCACGCGGGCACACCCCCACCCGCAGCCAACACCACGCGGGCACACCCCCACCTGCAGCCGACCCCACGCGGGCACACCCCCACCCGCAGCCGACCCCACACGGGCACACCCCCACCCGCAGCCGACCCCACACGGGCACACCCCCACCTGCAGCCGACCCCACGCGGGCACACCCCCACCCGCAGCCGACCCCAGCTCTCCCTCTATGCAGACACCCCACCCGCAGCCGACCCCAGCTCTCCCTCTATGCAGACACCCCACCAGCACACCGATGTCCACTGCTCTCCAAGCGGGCACTGCGGGCTAAAGACAGATCCCCTCCCATCCACCGTTGAGCAGAGCAGTGCCGTGGCAAGCAGACATCAGCACAGGCAGTGTGTGGCCTTCCTAGAGGCCGCCTCAGACATCTGCTCCTCCCTCGGCCGCCCACACACCAGGGCCCATGTGCCCACCACGGAAGGGGCACAGATCAGTGGGAAAAAATCCAAATGGTGCCAAACTTGCACCTGCTAGGAGGGCGAGAAAACAGGAGGTACAAACACAAGCAGTGAAACACAAGTCCCTCAGCTGAGCTCCGGAGTTCAGGAAGTCCTGGACCACTCCGCCTGGGGGATGTGCTCAGTGCACCGCAGCCTGCTCCAGGCTCCCAAGGGAGCACTCAGTAGCCCCTGCCCCGCCTGGCTGCTCCTCAGGGTTCCCCGCCAGCGGGAGGATCCCCACTGGCACCCATGCGCACCCATGGCACAGGAACCCCTTCGGGAGGATCCTCCCCGTCTCTCCTTCAGGAGAGGAGGGTCGCTGCGCTCCCATGGCGCTGGGTTCCACACCGGGAGGACCCTCCCAGCCTCTCCTCCAGGCGGGTCGCTGCGCGCCCATGGCGCTGGGCTCCACACCGGGGCCCGGCGCAGCGCATCTCACGCAGCCACGCCGCAGGGCGCGCTCACCCATTCCACGCGGGAACACTGACGCCCCGGCGCTTACGGGGTAGAAAGGGCCAGTCCGCTCGGACCGCTCGGCGCACTGCAGGCGCCGCAGCCCGGATGCGTCCACCCGCGGGCCTTGGCGCCCACGCAGCCCCGGCCCTCGCGGCCTCCGCCGGGACGAGAAGCACGCGCCCCAAGCCAGCGAGGTGGGTCCTCCCCAACCGCCGCCGGCCTCGGCAGGCTCGGGCCGGATCCCCCGCCCGCCGCCCGCCGGGGACCCGGGCCCCGCCGCTCCCCAGCCGCCGCCCGGCCCGCTCCCGCCCGCCCGCGTACTTGGCTCGGAGGCGCAGCAGCTCCTCCATCTGCTGGGCAGAGCCGACCTCCACCACGGCCGCCGCCGCCTCGGCCGCCCCCGCCGCCATGCTGCCGCCGCCAGACAGGACCGGCCGACCGCCGGCCGCTCGATCGGGGCGGGGCGCCGCGCGCAGGGCGGCTGCGCAGGGAGGCCCCGCCCCCCGGCCGGCCGCGCGGCTGAGCAGCCTGGGAAGGCGGGGCGCGCTGCGGCCGGGCTGAGGGGGCTGGGGCGCCGGAGGGGGCTGGGGCGCCTGCCAGGGTGCCTGAGGGGGCCTGGCTGAGGGTGCTAGGGCCGACCGTGGGTGCCTGAGGGGGCTGGGGCCACCCACCTGTCGGGGTCTGGCGCTGCCTGTGGGTCCCTGTGGGTGCTAGTGCCACCTGCGGAGTGCCAGGCTGTGCGGCTCCTGGGCCTGGAGCTCAGGCCTGTGGCATCGCCCTGGTCTGTAATGCTGCCTGTCAGGGCGCCCGACTGTGGAGTTCCTGCCGTGGGGCTCCTAACTGAGGGTGCTGGCCTTCTCAGCACCCCCCAGCAGGAGTCCTGATTCCTGAGCGCCGTACCCCTACGCCCCCTGACGCTGACCACCAGTCCCCATTGTGGGCTCTGACCTGCCCCCCCCACACTGCCCTGGGTACCTTCCTCCTCCTGGGCTAACCCTCTGCTGCCCAGTTCCCCCAGCCCCGGGAATCCCCAGGTCACAGGGCCTTCAGGGTGAGGTCTCTGCTCTCCTGTTGGCTGCCCCCCAGGAAGCCCACCCTGCTTGCCTGGTGTTCTCGGGGCGCCCTGTGCTTCTACCTGTAGGGTCTCCTCTGGGGGAAACAGGGGGCTCCCTGGGCCCCACTCACTCAGTGGCCAGCAGCTGGCTAGGAACTGGGCTCACTGGACTTGAAAAACTCTTATCTTCCCCACCCCCCAAGGATTAATAATTTAGATATTGATTGCATGTTGAAATTATAGTTTAGACAAATTGGCGGCTTTTTAGAGCTTGATTTCATTTTCATTTGAAAGAGTTACAAAGAGGAGGACAGAGAAATCTTCCATCTGCTGATTCACTGCCCAGATGGCCAAAGCTGCTGGAGCTGAACCACCCAGAGCCAGGAGCGTCTTCCGGGTCTGCCAGCTGGGGCAGGGTCCCAAGGCTTGAGTTCTTCACTGCTTTCCCAGATGCCTTAGCAGGGAGCTGCAGGGTAGCTTAGTGGCTAAAGCCCTCACCTTGCACATTGCCGGGATCCCATACGGGCACCAGTTCATGTTCTGGCAGCCCCGCTTCCCATCCAGCTCCCTTCCTGTGGCCTGGGAAAGCAGTTGAGGACGACCCAAAGCCTTGGGACCCTGCACCCACGTGGGAGACCCCAAAGAGGCTCCTGGCTGTTAGCTCCTGGTTTCAGATCAGCTCAGCTCTGGCCATTGTGGATGGAAGATCTTTCTTTCTGTATCTCCTCTCTGTATATCTGGCTTTCTAATACAATGAAATAAATAAGTCTTAAAAAAAAAAGTGGAGCAGCAGACACAAACCCATGGGCGGAAGTTTAGCTTAGTACGCCATGGCACTAGCATTGGGTTTGTTGCAATTTTTTAAGATTTATTTTATTTGAAAGTCAAAGTGGCAGAGAGAGAAAAAGACATTCTTCCCTCCACTGGTTTACTCCCCAGATGGCTCAAAGCCAGAGCTGTTTGAGGCCAGAACCAGGAGCCCAGAATCCAGGGTGGTCCTGTAAAGGTGACAGGGACCCAAGCACTTGAGCCATCGTCCACTCCTTTAGCAAATAATAGGATCATGGCCCAGCATGATAGCTCACTGGCTAATCCAGCGGCAAGTGCCATGATCCCATATGGGAACCGGTTCACATCCTGGCTGCTGCACTTCCCATCTCGTTCTGTACTTAGGGCCTGAGAAAGCAACAGAGAATAGGCCAGGGCCTTGGGACCCTGCACCCACGTGGGAGACCTGGAAGAAGCTCCTGGCTCCTGACTGCAGACCCGCCAAGCTCTAGCTGTTGTAGCCATTTGGGGAGTGAACCAACAAATGGAAGATTCTCTCTCTCTCTTTCTCCCTCCCTCTTCTGTTCCCTCTGTAACTCAAATAAAGATAAATCTTTAAAAGTTGTAGGCAAAAATCTTGGTCCTTCTATGAAAAAAATAGCAGGAGAGGGAGAGCATCCTTTGCCTACTTCATTTTAGACATGGAAGTTCCTATAAAATATAAGTAGACGTCGCCTAGACAGAGGTCTTGTGGAGGCAGAAAAGGAGGTGACCTCCTTCCTGTCCATCTGAAACTGAGACCTTGGTGAGCGAAGCAGGAGAAACTGCAAAGCAGGAGGGAGGCAGGCTGCCGTCGGTCTTCTAGAAAACGGGGCACAGCCAGCCCCCACTGGAGGAAGCGCCAGGGAAACACGCACAGGATTACGCGCGCAGGCGGCCCCAGCCGTCTGACGTCACAGATGCGCCAGATGACCTCTTAGCTTCCCCAGGCTGGAGCAGTGCTGGGCTGGCCCTGCTGGACGAAGGAGGCTTGTCTGTCAACAGCCAAGCAGTCCTCGTTCCGCGCCAGCTGATGCAGTGAGAACCTTGACGGCCCACCCCGGCTTTACAGCTAAGGGGCCCACCCAGACCCACCTTTACTGCCTCCCTCCCCTCTGGGACCTTGCCCCGGGAGGGGCTGGACTCGGTCCTGAGCTGCCGGGATCATCAGGGCCCAGGGGCACAGGGACCAGGACTGAAGCCCTGCTCTGGGAAAAGCCAGCGGGAGAGGGGAGAGGTTGCTGAACTTCTCTGGCTGGAGGACCACCCCCCTCCCCCGTGACTGACATGGATGGAGAGGGGCGTGGGTGGCCTTTGCTGGCATGGTTATCCTGGTGTGGAATAAGCACCGCTTTTTGCTGTTTAACAAGCCATCTTTGAGCCCTGACCTCTTGCACATGTGCAGTCCATCCCTCAGCAGGGGTGGGGGAGTGGGGTGGGCACAGCCAGTCTCCAGTGGGTAGGGAGCCCAGTGTCCTCCCACCTGACTCCTGGTGGCCACAGACCATGCGTGGAGCAGCAGGGGAAAGGAGGCCCGAGTCTGGGTTGAAGGGCTGCTGGTTCACATTCCCAGTGACGCCAATGTTCCTGCAGGAGAAACTCCATCCCAGTGACTCCGCCCCCAAAGACCAGTTGGGAAGAACTCCAACTGGAGGGAATTAATTTCCTGTGGAAGCCCACTGTTGCAAGATTGATGGAGGCCCCCTGCCAGGAAACAGTGCAAGTGTAAGTACAGTGGATTTATACCTGAAGGGTACGTATTTTAATTTCTGTTCTCAAGCTGTGAGAACATCTTCTGGTGCTACTATAAAAAGCATAAATGAGTACTGGCCCTGCGAACACGTGGCTTCCCACAGGAGCCCTGCCCCATCCCGCCTCCCTCCCTACAGCCCCAGCACCTGCCCGGGCACTGCGGGCACTGCGCTGGCCAAGGCACAGCCAGCCTGGCCCCAGCAGGAAGGAGCCACCTGCCTGCCTGTAGGGAATTGCCCCCTGTGTTCAACAGCTTTCCAGGTCCCAGGGTGCTTGCTAAAGCGGGGGCAACCAGCACTGGACCCAAGGAGCCAGCAGCCCCAGGCCCTGCAGTGACCCCAGGGCCAGCGGGCCTCGGCCCGTGGCGGCAGGGCTGTCTGGAACCGGGCACCAATTTGCCATGTTCCCTTCCTGAGCTGTTTTTATTGGAAGAACTCAGTGTATATGCTTGCTATAAAGGTTGTTTATGCTGTCATAGCTAGATTTTTATTGGTTGTATTTTTGCTGCAGTTGCTTGAAAAATAATTATTTTCAAAGAAAAGAAGAATTACATATCCTGTAAACTAAATAAGACTCACTGTTTATTAGAGAACCCTGACAGCTCCTCAAACACAGGGGAAAAAAATTTCCAAGCAGCGAATGGACAATTTATGTGCAAGTTTATTTGTAAAACAGATTTCAACACATACTTCATCTTGGCTCTGCCAATAAAAATGCATTCCATTTCTTCTCCAAAGTGTGTGTTATCTGGTGGCTGCTTGGCAATCCGGTTTCCCCGAAGAGAAGGCTGCTGGGATCAGCCTGTGCCCACTGGCCGGACCTGCCCTGGTGCGGGCTGCGCTGCGCCAGCGGCGCTGGCAAAGAAAGCAGAGTGCTCGTAATAGGCAGCGTCTGCAGCACAACTTCTGCGGTCTGCAAGTCGCCTTTTGTTAAAATATTTTTTTAATGTTTTTTAATTGTTTACAACTTATCACAGAAAATAATAATAATAATAAAACCAACCACCCCTCGGGCTGGGAGCAGCTCCTGGGCGCAGCGTGTGCTTGCAGACTGTAGGGGGCAACCTCCGTCTCTTTGTGGAGGGGTCAGCCCAGAGGGACCACAGTGGAGCAGCCCTGCCCAGGCACCCCTGCCCTGCTTCCCGTCAGCTGTGTGTGCACCCAGTGCAGAGCCGAGGCCGAAGAGGAGGGCTGCTCCCTCGTGGGGCACCCCTTCCCACAGCGTGGTTACCTGCAGGTCCAGCTCCCTGACGCCTGGGTCCTGAGTGCTTTCACAGGCCCTGTCGGAGTCCCTCCTTTTTGACACACAATGCTGCGTGTGTCTGTGTGCGTGATGGCTCTCCCTCAAGTCCTCTGGGGGCTGGTGTCCTGCTCTTGTTTGGCATTCTTGTTCCCTATTTATGGAACAGAGGGCACAGATGAGCTTCCCTTGGTGTGACACACAAACCCCTCATCAAATAAGAAGTCGCTTATTAGAGATCCTGTAACACCTCTCCCCATTCCCCACCCCCCAGCTCGCTGTGCCAGGCTCCCGGATACGGCACGCTGCCCCATCACAGCCCCCTTGCCTGAAGGACAGTGCCAGGCTCCCGGCTCCGGCACGCTGCCCCATCACAGCCCCCTTGCCTGAAGGACAGTGCCAGGCTCCCGGCTCCGGCACGCTGCCCCACATCACAGCCCCCTTGCCTGAAGGGCAGTGCCAGGCTCCCGGCTCCGGCACGCTGCCCCATCACAGGCCCCTTGCCTGAGGACAGTGCCAGGCTCCCGGCTCCGGCACGCTGCCCCATCACAGGCCCCTTGC